CAGATTGTGTGCGGTCATATAGTAATATAAGACACCGAAAGTCTCAAAGGTTTCCAAATCAAACGCAAGGTCAATTTAGTAGCTCTTCCGAGGCTCTTGATCATGTCAATTTTTCTAAGGATGGCGTTGTCAAATTGTAATGGGGTATCTAGATTTAAAAACATTTTTCATTTTGATTTACAATACTTCTTTCACAGCAGTTCAAGGACTTATTTTTTCCAGTTAGCTTTTATAAGTTGAGGCAAAAGTACATTCTATGATCGAATACACAATCTTTTTCATGAAGAGAAATGGAAAATTGAACATTAAACATTTCCTAAACTAAACGGTGAACACTCAAATCAAAATAAATGATTGAAAAGACACAGAACGTTTTGTAATTATTAGATATTTTCTAATAAGTATGAGAGAATAAATCATAGTAGAGATAAAGAAGTCATTATCCTCTTTGGAGAAAGCATTTTACTTCCTTAGAAATCCTTCAAGATCTTCATCTCAATTGTAACTGATTCAAGTCGTATTAACCATTGAGCTTGCATGTCAGATCCATATACATGAACAAGTATAAGCAATATTCTGCTGATGAAGAAGAACCCTGGTGTGTCAATGAATGAGCTTTTAATAAGATAAAGTCATGTTTGTGTGTAGATGAGATGATCAGGGGGCCTCCAGTGCCTCCTGTGCACATGGCCCATAATTCCTTGCTGCATCTCTGCGTTGTGACAAAACACTACCACTTCAGCCAACTGATATAAACGCTGTGCATGTCTGAGAAGCTTATTAACCGCCTCGCTCTGCTCATTCCTATTTCAAGCTTTCCAAGGACAATTTCCTGTAAAACCACTCATGTGCCCACACATCATTCAGACTGTTATCATGGAAACAAATGTAGTCTGGGCTTCTGTGGCTCATGCTTCATCTAGCTGAATACAACAGACTAATAATGGAAGATTAACTGGAGGAGGATGGATACTAGTAAAACTGTGACACTGTCAGCCCTGTTGGCTCCGAGGGATAAAGTGACTCAAGCACAGCAGGCATGAGATTATAGTGGTGTATAAAACCTGTACTGTTCCCTTTATAACAACTGGATAATGATGACTGGTCAGTTTTGCCTGTGGATGATATGATGGAAGTGAAAAGTTTGGACTCAACAGCTTCAGGCTTACGGCTATATAGATGCCAGCTAACATACTGGACTGTAGCTATATAGAATCTCTTTAAAAAAGAAAATCCAAACTCAAAAGCCACTTTCTAGCTTTTTCCAGGGATTTGAAGTGTGCCAAAAGTCTTCATCAGCAGAATGATGCTTATACTTTGTCATATATATGCATCTGCCATGTTTATTTTTAAGTTTCCTTTTCACAATGTATTAGGAGTAGTATGTCCTGCTTGACACATTACAATGGCCACGATAACCACTGATAACACTGAAAATGGGTGTGTACCGATAGGTCAAACCCATATCATGACTGGATTGACACAAGTACTGTTTTTCCCATTCATGACATTTACTTGATGAAATTATTTTTTAACTTGATTTCTTTTATGACTCTCGTGGTGAACAGTGAGTCTAACCGAAAGAGGTTAATACCTGCTCTCCTTTCTTGTAGCGCGATGCGAAGGTCGTCATGTCTCCTTTCCAGCAGCACTTAGTCTTTCAGATGTCTTTCTGTCTGCTGTCGGTGCTCCAGTTAATTTGATGTCATAACGGTTAAAGGCACTAAAAGAGATAAGATAACAATAAATACGGTTAATGTGAAGCTCCTCCGTGAGGGCACTCAGCCCTCCATGAAATAAGGTTGTCAGATGTAGCCCTGCTTTATAAAGAATATTTTGATGCTCCTAGTAAATGTTTAAAATAGCACTCGGGCAGTCAAACAATGCAATTAATCCCCGAAAACACTTTAGTCCAACATTTAGGTAGTAGTCTTTTTTTATTTCAATGTCACAGAAAAGGATTAGGTCCACATGTGAATTTTCTTTTTAGATGAAATAAGTATTCTGACTTTAATCACAGAACAAAATAAAAAACACAACTTTTGTTCAGATCTCATAAAAAGAAAATTCACATGTGGACCTAATCGTCTTCCGTACAATTGATATGATCCAACCTCAGAATTGGGGTGTTTACAGACTCGGCAACTTTTTAAAAAACAAAATTGTTGCTCCCTCTAATGTTGCCAGTAATATTCATGAGATACAGCCACAGTGTGAACATTTTCTGCTACATGGTTTGCTGACTGGGATTGAATGCAGCTGTCAGCAATTATAGAGAGCCAATCAGCTGGCACCTGAGAGCATACCTGGTAACTATGGTAAGGACATCAAAAAAACTCACAAATGTAAGGCCGACATGTGGATTGTGAATGTTTAATATTTAACATAGTTCACATGAATGCTGGTCTTTTACATTCACATCAATAAAGCATGTGCATAGTTCAGAATCCCATACTAATGAGCAACCAGTCTTCCTCAACATATTAAGAAGAAGAAAAAAAAACCCGAATGCCAATATTGGCATTGTTTTTTCTATCGGCACAAGTTAACCCTTAAATGGGCATTCAGATTTAAATATTCTGGAAAAATGTATTGCTATTTTTTTTTATTTCACCCATATTACACTTTTATACACCCTTATTACACCCATATAACTCTGTTATTTCATCCATATAAGAGTGTTATTAGACCCATATTACACCCATTTAACACCAATGTCTCATCCATATTACAGAGCAAAGACATTGTTCTAACACCCATTTTTTCACACATGGACACAGCCTGTGAAATGACTGTATCCCTCAGGAAACATAAACCATTTAAGGGTTAACACATTCAGAGTACAATATTCATGCTGCATAGAGTAACTGCCTGTTGTTATTTTTACATAAACAGTCTCCAGGGTTCAGATTTAAAAAGAAACAACCCGAAACCACCAGTCCGACTCTGCTTGTTTGATCAGCAGCTGAACAAACTCAGATTGTGAACATATTTCAGTGATAAATGTGACAGTAAAACAACAGCATCCATAAACTGGGCCCCAGTGAGTTTACCCAGTAAACATGCTGCTGATCTAGCGTTGGCTGTTTGCACAAATTAGCTCATAATTCTGATTCGTTCCGCAGGATGCTTGTAAAACTGGTACATTGCAAAGTGACACTGCTGCCAGTGTGTTATGTACCTGCAACCTGTTTATGAATGTAAGCTTCCCTGACCTAACACATAACCCCAGAACAAAAAAGGGATGTCATTTCCTCTCCCAAGTGCTGAATGAATTGTTCCACCCCTCATTGCCCTTGCCTCCTCTTCCAGCAGGGGAAAGAGACACAAACACCATGTGACAGCTCCTTCACATTTTTGAGGCGGAGGAAGAGAACATCTTTCATGCTAAAAATAGATCCCCTGATGAAGCGCCTGCATGCTTATAATGCGGCTGCTGCTACGCTTTGGCCCTCGCCTTCACCTCTCATACTATGTGATGCTGCGTGCATACTCTCATGCAGTACGAGCCTCCCCTCCCTCTCACAGAAATGCTGCAATGCGTCTCCCTCAGCCAGGACTGGGTCAGTGTAACTCAGCTAGCAGCAATAGCCATAGAAGCATCCCCATAGCAACAGCCAATGAGGATTATGGCTGGGGGATTTATTTTTGTTGCGTTATTGTTGCGATTGTGTATGAAAAGAGCTTCAGGATTAAACTCGTCTAGGGGGCTTTAGTTAGGTTCAGTGGAGAAAGGAGATGGCTAGTTAGCAAAAGAGGAGACAGGGCGGGGTTGAGGACACTTCTGCAGTGGGACAGATGCTTGAAGATAGGGTGTTGTATTGTCATTAAATGAAAGTGGTCATAGGATGTTTTTATTATGGGAAACATTGTTTTTCCTTCTAATTTGGGCTTTCAATGAGTCAGACATGCCAACATAACTTCTCATTCACTTAATCATTCCTTAGACCAACATTTTGTCGGAATTTCTAACAACGTCAATCATGGGGCCATTTTCACGATTCTGATTGACGCTGGACGCAGATGTTTTTCTAATGTTTTATTATTATTTACACCTGTATGTGACATTACACTCTGAAAGATCCAGTGATCATTATTAATGGGTATTTATTGACAGAAATATAATACGATATTCATTATTAGATTTATTTTTTATTACATAATCAACTTAAACTGAGAACCGTTGTGTTTTCGTTAGCATAGAATGAGCCCTTCATATCTACAAAGGGAGTGGCTCTTCTTTCATGGACTCTGCAATGTTGCACCGCCATAATACTACAGAAGCCCAAAACAGACAAACTAAACTCTGCCTCTAGAGAGAGTATTAGTTCTTTAACACACTTAAAACAGGAGGTTTGATTGGAAGCGTACTCAGTTTGGTTGCAATCTGCCAACTTACCGTTAGAGGCCACTAAATCCGACACACTGCCAATTAACGTTTTTTTCCGAACATATAGCATATAAATGAGAAGATCAATACCACTCTTATGTTTATACTTGAAATATGAAGCTTGAACCAGCTAGCAGCCGTTACTGTAGTTGAGCTTAGCATAAAACAGAAGGTCAAATAAAATTGAGCTACATACCAGCAAGTGTTAAGCTCAACAAGTTTTATTGTGGTGGATACATTTGTACATAAAATGATGCATGGTGGTTTTACAGGGTTTTACATGCTCAAATTCTTTCTTGGCTCACTCACAGCACTAGTTTCATTTTCAATATGAAGACACGAGTATGGTTTTGATCAAACCTTCATTAAGAAAAAGAAACATCATTAGTAAAATATTGAACTATTCCCTATATTGTGTTTTTTTTATTTGATCTATTAGGTTATGCGATTATATCCTACCAATGACTTTTTTAACGTTATGGATTTCATACTGTAATAAGAGAAACAAACCAATATTCACCCAGTCAGAAGGAGGCCTCTGTTACTCATCAATCATTATTTGGCCTTGGTGTAGTCTTACGTTTTTTTCCTTTTACTGTGTTTACCGCAGGCCAGCGGATTCTCCAGTATCAGAGTGACGTCCTCGAGACAGTAGTGCTGGTGAACCCATCAGAGGAGACCGCTGCCTCAGAGGTAAGTCACACCTGGACAACACAGACAACGCACAGCATGGTGTTGATGAGCAGACTCTCTGAATCTAAAAAGTCTTGATTGAACTTGGTTTCACTCACCAAGAACCTGTCAGTAATATGTCTTTTGCTATAGAAAACATTATGGAATGCATAAAAGTAGAAATTGAAATGAAAAAAATCTAAAAACCTTCTGATAAGCTGCGTGTATAGAAAACCAGGATCATGTATTGACACATTTGAGAAAAAGCTAGCTGAACTTTATAACTACACAAGCAGCAAGAAAATGCTCTTTGTATGTGGAGATTTTAA